CCCCACAAAAAAAAAAAAAAAAAAAGAGGGGAGCAATCTTGAGAGACAAGCATTCAGACATGAGGTGCTTGAGATGGAGAGTCGAGATCCAGGAGCCCAACAGTTTTCAACTTTTTTCATATCCTCACCTCTTTTCTTCGAAATTTTTTCACAACCGCATCACTTTTTACTGATGCTTTCACTTCCTCGGGATTTTCTTGACATCCAAAAAAAGAGAATAATTTTTTTAGAATTGCCTTTCGTTTCGTTCAGCACGTCCTCTGATCCAGACATATGGTATAATTCCAATCATCAGAAGAAAATTTATTTCTTTCTTTTTCTTTCGGATCAGTAGAAAAACTATTTCTATCTTAATTCCTCTAAATTGTTCGATAACTTTTACCCATAAGTCTGTTCGTTTTCATATCCACATTCAGTGTTTTTTAATTGAAAATTCGACATGTGTTCTTCAGAAGGAAAAAAAGTAAAATAGGAGAGAAAAGCCAAACAGCATTCATGACTGAACCTTTCTCTTCTGATAGCATTCCCGTTAGTCCATCAATACTTCGCCATGATTGAAAATTCAAATCAGGATAAAGATGTGACACAGTTGTGAACGACACCTCGACGGAATATGGTGAAAATTTACAATGGTGCTCAAGCTTCTATAATTACTAAAGGGATAGTAAAAGTTAGGATGGACAAGGAATTTTGGTGAAGAGGGGCAGGCAAATACATTGAAATTATTTCATTTTTGTTAAAGGTGACATTCAGTAAGATAGAAGGACGGAAATTCCAAAGTTCACATGAACCCAAGGGGAGGGGGGGGGAGGGGGGACTGGACAATAAGAGAAACTGTACATGGAAGGACTCAAAGATGGTATTCATATATTGGTGCCATAAGAGCCAGAATTTTCGGCAGAAAGCACGGAAACGTATCCTCTCGCGAATGCTGTTTTAACGTTTTGCTCATCCTCAACATTAATCGGCAAATTTGAGTTAATGCTTGTGGAAAAGATTGTAATGATGCATTAAGACAACAAGTTAAAAGTTAAGATAACTGATTGTGGTCCCAATTTGAGCAACCGACACAACCATTCTATTAAGTAAAATTTCTCAACGAAAATCTCACAAATACACAATCCAGACCTGAACCTGAGCCCTGAAATAACCCCAGCCCAAAGTTTTTGAACAAAAATGAGTTGTCGACATCTGGCTCAGAAGTCATTTTGAAACAAAATGTACAAAATCCTCTAGCAGCTTTTAATGATATAGGATAAGAATTCTTACCATTTAAGATATGAAGTTTTAAAGTGATCTCGATGATCATTAATACCACATAAGAATCATAAAAGGAAATGGTCCAATCTAGTTCATCGTACTCAGACTTGTTTAGAGATGTCGCATTCAGACACTTGCCTCTGTAACAGTCTTAACAGTTCTATGCAAATCACACCAAAATAAGTATGTTCACTAGAATAACATTACTGAATTAAGTTCAGTAGAAAATATTGCAGATGCCCTTAATTTGAGTTCATCAACGACAATTGCGAGTAATAAAATGACCTTTTGTTAGAATAGACCATACTTTCAAAGCAAATTAGATAAGCAAAGTAATAATGCACGACCTAGACAGAACAATCATTCTACACGTTGAGAAGGAAACAGTGGAAGAACGATATATAACGTACAAAATGACATTTCAGACATCGTAGTAACAGTCCACAACACTCCACACCAATCAGACACTATACCTTTGATTTGCAGCATATGCTCAAATAACGAGATAGAAGTTTCCTAGCCTCTTCTCTCTCCGCATTTCGAAATGCAGATACCACTTCCGCATTAGCTTGAGTAGCCGGCAATCTTCCTACTGCATAAATATTACAAGTATGGACAATTACACATGAATGTATGTAGAAAGAATCATTAATTCCTCCAGAATTTTCTACTCTGAATTAAAATGTGTTAGGTATGGCGGAAAATGTTTTCAAGTGTGCATTTGGCGGGAGGGAAAACGTTTATCATACTCCAAGAAATCATAATCTAGATCATTTTCTACATTTAGGTTTACCAAAATATATGACATGTGGTAATTGTACAAGGAACAATATTTGGTACAAGGATATATTTTTAGTGATATTTATGAGTATTTGAAACAGTGACTAATGTTGACTGAAGCAAATGATATGGACTTAAAATTAGGATAGTTATAAAGGAAACTTTTGCTCATTCCTTTCTGGTAGAAAATATTTTTCCTGGACAAAACATTTTCATTATTCAAGGTAATCAAACATTCGAAGGGGAGCCTTGGAGCAACGGTAAAGTTGTCTCTTTGTGACCTATGGTTACGGGTTCAAGCCGTGGAAGCAGTCATTAATGCTTGCATTAGGGTAGGCCGTCTACAATACACCCTTTGGATGCGGCCCTTCCCCAGACCCTGCGTAAGTGCGGGATGCTTTGTGTACCGGGCTGGCCTTTAAGGTAATCAAACATTCCTTACGGACCAAAACTTTATCAATTATTAAACAACATTTTAGTTTTAAAAAAAAAAAAAAGATGGATTTATAATCACGAAACATTCTGAAAGACCAAAACTTTATCAATTTACTGATTAACATTTTTGTAAAAGAACATGAATTACATGATATATCATCAACTTGTATACCCTAGAAAACACTAGAAATGATGCAAAAAACAATCTTTTAAGCTAGAACATTTTTCATAGAAAGTATAAACATTTTTTATTTTGTAACAAATGCACCTTAAAGATCAAAACTTTATCAATTTATGTAACAACATTTTAGCAAAAGATGATAAATGTATATATAAATAGAGACTTACACAAAGTGGGTATATAAGGAGAAGGTTCAAGAACATGAAAAATACAAATTTCTGAGTTCCCAAATGTTTTACAAGCCCATTGAACCAAAGCAACATTTTTATTCACAGATTTTCCAACTGCTATATACACTTTAGGTTCATTTTGTTCTTCTACGATTTCTCTCGTTTGAGGAGTGATGATTTGGCAAGTTCTGTAAAACCCATGTCGATAAGTGGCCATAGAAGAAAACCCAGAAATAGAATTTGAAGTAGGGGTAAGAGGAGGAGTAGAAGGGGTTAACAACTCCATTGTTATTGAATATCAAGAACGAACTGGGATATTACATTACAGAGAGACACATTTAAGACTTGTTGAGTTGTTTATTTTGTTCGTTTTTGACGTTTTTTGTGTAATTTGAGGACTTTTTAGTCTTTTTGGCTCGTGTCTGCATCACACGACTTAAATGAAAATATCCTTAAATAATGAGAAAATCTAGAAAAGGTTTTCAACTTTTAAAAAGCCAAAACTAATGATGATTTCTTAATCTTAACTTATAAAATCAATCAAAATAATATGTTCTTAGATTGATTTCTTAATCTTAACTTATAAATCCATCAAAATAATACTGGTATGTTCTTAGATCAGAGTTGCAGCTTAATGGTTTGAACCTCACTTTACATAATAATGAATGCTCGTAAAATAGACAACAAATAATATAATGCATACAAGTTATTCTGGACACTACCGTAATAAGATAATAAAATAAAATAGATAACAAGCACCAAGCAACAACTTTTAAGTCGTAATCTTTCTACTTTTTAGATAACGCTCTTAATTTCTATTAGGTAAGTTTTGAAGTTGGCGGTTAGTGCTGGACTAATATAATAGTTTCTAAAAGATAAATGAACTTTATTAGTATAATTTTATGAATTTAAACATCTCAAAATAGAAGAATGAGCTTTTTTCCCGCCTCGCGATCCATGAGGGAAAGCGGTTTAGAGGTCCTATTTATTGCAAGTTCGCTCACCTTAAAAGTTATTGTAAGAAAAATATCCTTAAAATTATTAGATACAATGATGTCTAGATTAAAGGATATATTCAAATATTAAATCGTAATCTTATAGAAAGAAAATTAATCCAACCTAGGTTTTCAAAGCTAACAGAGATTTCTCTATAATAATTTTTAGTAAGAAAGTGCCATGCTTAACAATTAGTTCAAACATACAGCTTTTCTTCAAATATTTTTGCCTTAAAAAGAAATTAATCAGAAAACTGTAACAAATTGAAGATGATATTAGAGCAAACGGGAAAAAAGAATAGGAAAGTTGAGTGTCGCAGTTTAGTACTTTATAATAATACTTCACTTTTTATTAAATTAAAAAATATTATAAAGTTCCACCTAATAAAGAATGAATGAGCTAACACTAACTACTCCACGAAGAGCCAAATCTATAACTATTATTTAGTAGTTTCGCATTTAAAGCGAGATACTCTTGATTAGTAAGATATGTGACGGCCAGCTAGTTGTTTGGTTTTAAGTATGACATTTGGTAAAACAATGTAGCTTATTAGATGCATATTCAACTGAACTTAATATTTTAATATTGAACATAAGTATATATGTGCAGGTACGTACGTAGGATTTTACGCAAGCGATGTCAATATTTATAGAAGAACGGAGAATAAAAAATATTAATTATCATATTACATGACAAGAAATAACCTTAGTCAATTTGTTTTATTGAGTTAGAAGAGATCGCGAGTTCAATTATGCCAAACTACAATTTTTAACATAGAAGTTCTCTCAAATATTTGACAAAAATATGATCTAGTTATGATTTGAACCTCTCACCTCCTTGGAAAAAACTAGAAATTTAATCAGCATGCCAAGTTGCAATATGCATCAAGTGATGTCATTTTCTTTATCTTATTGTATCTGTATAGTATTACTACATATATTTCATAAAAAAATTCGACGAATTGGTGTCACGTGACACCACTCCGTTCTGCGTACATCCGCCCTTGTATATGTGAAAATAACTAAAAAGATTAACAAATATAATATTCTGAAATCATAATATTAAAAGTACAATAAATTTAGTATTAAATAGTAATTTAAAGGTTATTCATCGTGCTTAAATCTTGAATCCGTCTACCTACTTTTAAATTTATTTGAACTACTAAGCTCTTGCTAATTTAATTTGTACATAATTAATTGAGATTAGGTATGGTTTGTTGACTTTAGGAAGTTATCTTTTGTTTTCGACCTCTTCTTCTCCCCCAAGAGCTTGTGAGGTTTTTAATAAAAAATTCCGAAATGTAATAGTACTAATACTAAACTACTAATGACGAAGAGTTTTCTTTTTCTTACCTGCTTTGAATTGTGACGATTCATGTTTTTTTTTTTGGAACCCCAGGAAAATCCGCAGATGTTACGGCCTCTGTCCTTCGGGTGAATACTATGTGTGCACTGGGTAAACCCCCACTGTGTAATAGCCTGCAAACCACACAAGGGATGTAAACCGCACTAGGCAAGCCCCGTGTGACAGATTTAGACCCAGAGAACATTGAGGGTGGGATCAAACCCGCGTCACTCGTGTGGATAACACCTTCCAAACCAACTGGGCCGTCCCTTCGGGACATTCATGTCATATTGCTATTCTACTTTTTACATATTATCAAGTCTAACTAGTTTTAATTATAGACGGATTTGCGATTGGGCAAGTTAATCATTTGGTCAGTTAGCCAAAAATAATTACATTCGCTACAAAAAGAAATAAAAAAATCAGATACTGTTTTTTAGAACGGTTATACTCTTTAGTTTTCCCTTCACAATTTAAGCTATTGAATATAAAATATATTTGCTCGTGCTATTTTCTTGATGATAAGTCTAAATTTATTTAGAATAAATATATACTATTATTGTTTTTTAAAATTAACTATTTCGAGTTAAATACGGTGAATATGTTTGCACCTGTTGCCACAAAGCTAAAATACAAAAGTCAATTTCCAACAGTGTGCTATACATCAATCCAATCAAAATTAATTATCTATGAAAAAAGTTAATGAACTTTTGTGGACCATGATCCTCGGAAGCACCAAATTTTAATATTTCTATCATATCATATAACGAAAAGTGGCATAATGCAACCAAAAGGGAATTGGTTATGAAAAATTATTAATTTTTGATTTGTCAAAAAGCAGTGATGAAAGCAATAAATCTTGGATAATCAAGACCGATGAAGTCTGGGTTGTTGTTGTCGTTTTTTTTTTTTTTTTTTTTTTTTTTTGGGTCTTGTTGGACTCTGTTTTCAATGATTCTAAAGAGAATTTCATTTGTAATTGGAAAATCAAAAATTATTATTTTTTCTCCTAAAAAGTAAATATTCACAANTTTTTTTTTTTTTTTTTTTTTTTTTTTTGTTTTGGGGTATATAGAAAATGCCAGATTTGTTCAAAAAGTAGAAAGTGGCGTAAGTATTTTTTTTTTCTTGGCTATACATTTGAATGAGATGGTTGCATTGGTAAGAAAAATATATTTCAGTATTTGAATTTGGTTTAATTTTTGAAAAGTTTTGTTCTTGAAAGACTTTGAGTTTTGAAAGATTATGTGGGAGAAAAGTTTGAGTGTGTGTTTAAATTAGTTATTGAGAAAATATTTTTGGAAAACATTTATGTGCTATTTTCGAAAACTTTCTTTTGAATTGTTTCAACTTTTATTTTATTCGAAACATCACCAAAGAACTAAGTTTGTTTTTCATCCTTATTCGAAAGAAAGGCGAACGTCTGAAAGATCGTAACCTGGTATCTATAATCGATACTTTAGTTCTTAATATGGATATACTCTTTTTCTTTTGATTAATTTATTCATTATTCTATATAACACCATTTATTTTTAAGAGCTTACAACACTAGAGTGCTATATTAACACGAAGATATACGGCCATACGGATATGACATAGTAGTTAATAGAGTGAGTGTGAAAATTATGAGATTTTAAGTTCAAATCTCAGCAGATACAAAACACATTAAGTGATCTTTTCCCATCCACCAAATCTTGATGGATCCGATTTATAAGATACCGTGGAATTAGTCGAGATGCACGCAAGTTGACCCGAACACCATGATTATGAAAAATAGTTACTTCTCTATGTAATATGTTACGTACTTACATACGGACATAATGGAAAACAATTGGAGTTAGCATTGAAGGACAAAAGTTCACAACAAAAGAAAATCTACATTGAAGTATCTGGTTTTACTGTCAATTCTGAAAATTTTGTTTGCCATTGTTACAGCGATAAAGAGACATAATAAAAATATCACATGTCTAAAGAATTAGAAGCATTTTCTGTGCACAATGGATGGTCCAGATTCATCATATTCTGCCTTTGCAATCCACATCTGCATTTCAAAAAACAACATAGAATTATAGTCAGTGTAGTTTAATCATTATATAACAAGTTACGATACGAAATAGTCCCCCATCGGCTGTATAGATGGGGTAATTGGTCTCCTTATATGGTTTCGGGCAATCCTCATCTCAAAAATTAGTTCATGAGGATAGCCAAGATCGTATAAGGAGACCAATTACCTTATCTACGGCCGATATGAGACTATTCTAACAACTATAAACACAGAATATTGTCAATAGATGTAAATGTTAATGTTAATGTCAAATTCCAAATTTTCACTCACCTGTTGGAAAGTACTTAAAGAAGCCAAAATAGAACCTCCAATCCAAACACTATACTTCCTCTCAGGTGGAGCTACCACCTTAATTTTCATACTGCTTGGAGCTAAGGCAGTAATTTCCTTACTCATCCTATCAGCAATTCCAGGAAACATAGTCGAACCGCCACTGAGTACAATATTTCCATACAGATCCTTTCTGATATCCACGTCGCACTTCATGATCGAGTTATAAGTCGTTTCGTGAATGCCTGCAGCTTCCATTCCAATCATTGAAGGTTGGAAAAGGACTTCAGGGCATCGGAAACGTTCAGCACCGATGGTAATCACTTGACCATCGGGCAATTCGTAGCTCTTCTCAACAGAAGAGCTAGTTTTCGACGTTTCCATTTCCTGCTCAAAGTCAAGAGCAATGTAGGAGAGTTTTTCCTTCACATCCCTCACGATTTCTCGTTCAGCAGTAGTGGTGAACGAGTAGCCTCGCTCTGTTAAGATTTTCATTAGATGATCAGTCAAGTCACGACCAGCTAAATCAAGACGGAGGATAGCATGTGGCAAAGCATATCCCTCATAAATTGGGACAGTGTGGCTAACACCATCACCAGAATCCAGGACAATACCTACGTAACATTAAAACATCTGATGTTAAAGCAGAATCGTCCAAGCTCTAGATAATTTCAAGGAAAAAATTAATCAGGAGCAGAGGCGAATCCAGAATTTAAACTTTATGGGTTCCTACAACAACCTTGAGTTTGGATACAGGAGAAAGTGTTCACCTGTTGTACGGCCACTGGCATAAAGGGATAGAACGGCTTGAATGGCGACATACATAGCAGGAGTATTAAATGTCTCAAACATGATTTGAGTCATCTTTTCGCGATTAGCCTTCGGGTTAAGAGGTGCTTCAGTGAGTAGTACAGGGTGTTCCTCTGGTGCAACACGAAGTTCGTTGTAGAACGTGTGATGCCAGATTTTCTCCATATCATCCCAGTTGCTAACAATACCATGTTCAATTGGATATTTCAAAGTTAGAATACCACGTTTGGATTGAGCTTCATCACCAACATATGCATCTTTTTGCCCCATGCCAACCATCACACCTGTATGGCGTGGGCGACCAACAATACTCGGAAATACTGCTCGTGGAGCATCATCTCCAGCAAACCCTGCCTATAAAATGGGCACACAATACAAAACATGAATAAGTAACTACCAAAGAATGGCATTTTTTATGATTTATAATAGCACACATATTGAAAGGGAGCCATCGCGCAAGGGTGAAAGTTCTCGTTGTATGACCAGGAGGTCACGAGTTCAAGTTATGGAAACAAACTTCAAAGGTATAAGGATGCATACCATTTATGTTGCTCGGATCCTCTCTAGAAATGTTGTCACACCTGTGTCAGATCTTATATATTGTCGAAAGATCCGAGCAACATAGCGTACAATAGACCAATATAATGTGATCCGTCCTTACACTAACCTCGTGTATATATAGTGGGAGTTTAGCACCCGGTGTACCCTTTATATAGAAACGAAGATTTATATGTTTGGATAGTTGAAAGTTTTTGTACATACCTTGACCATTCCAGTCCCATTATCACAGACGAGTGGCTGAATATCCTCACCGTCTGCCATTTTCTATCTACTGCTATCAACAAAATTGAAAGCCTCAAATTAGAAAGACCATAAAAAAGAAATAAACAGATAATAGAAATCAGACAAAACACCATTAATAACCAAGAGCAAGAGGAATTGGCAGTCTAAATCAAGCAGTAACACACAAAGAACAAGATTCATCTTCCCACTAACATTGACAGTATTTCTAATTAAACTATCAAATCCAATGGGTAAGGGCAAAACTTAATAAAGATCCAAGAATCTATCTTCACTCTAACTATATTCCTACATTTGAAAACCTAATAAGTTTATCCAATTGTCCACCATAATGTGATTGATATGAACAATCAAGAATCAAATTTGAGCTAAAACCCAAGAAATTCAATGAAATCAAAAAATATAGGTTCCAACTCGCATGGCTAGCAATGCTCAATAAACTATCGAATCCAACGATAAGAGCAAAATTTGACAAGGTCCAAAAATATCAAAAATTTCAAGTCAGTCCAGAATAGATGTTGCATATCGTAAATACATATTTAACAAACTACGAGAAATTATGTTTTGACAATTATAAATGCAAAGAGAAACAAACATTAACACATCATAAGCGAATAATGCATACTACTGATTAAGTTTAAATTCTGAATTCGTCGCATGTATTACCTTTGTGTAAAAAAGAGGGAACTTTAGGAGGAGGTCGTAGGAGGAGTAAGTTAGTGGTGCCCACGGTTGGCTATGAGTTCCAAATGCAAAACAAAAAAAATTCAAATGAAACCCAACGCTAAAAAATAATCATATGGTATGCTTTTTAAATGCTAAAAAACCCCGCAATTTTTGCTGTCTCAAAACCTGGGTGTCCGTTGGTTATTCGTTGGTTTTGGTTTTTGCTTTTGTCCGTTGCCACGTGTCACATATTCATCAGTGGTCGTTAGTAACTTATAACTGCTTTCTTGTTTGGGCTTCCCCCTTCTTTTGGCCCATTTAAACCGCTTGGCCTGCTCCTCTAAATTTTGATTTTTTTTTTCATACTCTAAACTTTAATTTCTAACTAACATTAGAAAGGTACTGTTGAAAAAAGTTAAAATACGAGGTACAAAAAAAATTTCTTGTAGACACTCTGGATTTGAAGTAGTAATAAAGTTATCTCTGTGTAATCTATAGGTCACGAATTCGAGCCGTGCTGTTTGCAATAACTTTGGGCAGAAAAATAAAATTGCAATCACAAACAACTATAAAGAAAAAAAGATTTTATTGATAAACATTGCAGGTTACAACTCTGTTTATCCCTTGATTCTTCCTCTGATTTATTCTATTTGATTCGAGGGCCTTAGCGGTGTATTTCTCGAACGTAGAATGATATGCATCTCCTTGATGTATTTGATGATCAACAAGCATGTAGCAGCACTCCATTTGGATCTTGAATGTTGCTAGAAATTTAAGCAAGACATATTTGACATGTCTTTGATCTCTTAATAAATATTCCAAGAGTTTCATGGAATTTCGGAGATCTCATATTTGATCTCTTTTTGCATATTCCGAGAGTTTATGGAATTATTGAGATGGTCTTTGAAGGACATATGTAGCCTTATTTATAGGCATGAATTAGGGTTTGAGTGGAGCAGCCACCAAGTAACCCTAATAGACTCCTAATATTTCAAGAGTTGTCTTGAATTTATGATTTATCTTGATATGTAAAAGTTTCAGTGTCTACACGTGCAATCAGCCACTGATATGTGTGCATCAAGATAGACTGCCTACATCATATCCCTTGGAGTACGGCTCTTCCCCGTACCTTATGTGAATGCGGGATATTTTGTACTCCTTCTGATCCACTTTAATTGATTTTTTTTTTGGCTCTTTTCACATATATTAAGGAATCTTTTATCATTAATTAACAATAAAATTGACCATATTAACCTTAATTTACTCATTGAAAATATAACAAACTACTCCTAGGCTCTTTACTCGAATGACATTTTTGAAAAGAAGAAGTTAATTCCTTCTTGATATATAAAATAATCAGATATTGTGGACCACAAAAAGACCAAAAAATCACTTAAAATGGACCGAAGAAAGTATACCCGATTGCTCTTTTTCTTTTACTTGAAGACAATAATACCCCTGTATTCAGTGTGAGATACTTAAATTATTAGTGTTCCCTACTATTATAAACCTAAAGGAAAAATAAATTAGTAAAGAGACTAATCCACTTAAATAAAGGGATGTCAAAACTAATAGTTTCGAACTTGGAATATTCTTCATTAGTTGTACTTATATACTATGTTCATATAGGCAATGATGAGATAGATGCCATAATTGTTTTTAATTAGAATTTAGATCTTAGATTGAGATAAACATCATGAGATGCACTTGACCTTAACGTGGGGAAGATCTGTGGGAATCCCACTGCAAAAATATTCGCATCAAAATTTATTTTAATAAACCCATCAGTCTACTTGTTACATTGTCCTTATTTCTTTGATCTGATTTTTCTTCATCTTTTAGTTTCATGCATGTGATCTCATAAAGACACATCCTTTTGTTTTTCTAAAAAAAAATTAATTTTTTCCCCTTATAACAGCTTGTTTGGATAGTTGTTACTTATTGTATTGTATCATATTATTGTATTGTATCGTATTGTTACTTTAAATACAATATTTGTTTGATTATTAAATTTTATTGTATCGCATCGTTAAATCCGTCATTACGTAACGATGAAATGTGCCACTTTATGTAACGATCGACTTGGTGTGGTCGCGTCGTTACCTTGTCTATTTTTCTCAATCTCATCCTTCATTATTATTAAATAATTTTATTTTATCATTTACCCTACTTTTTAATATACCGTGTCATAATTTTTCTTTATAATATTACAAGTTTATTATCATATTATTGGAGCTTGATACCATAAACGACGGCAAAACGACACAATCCATCCAGATATTGTATTCATCAAACAATACAGTACAGTACAATACAATACAATACGATGCATTATATTATTATATTATGAAACGATATGTTATAACAACCATCCAAACATGCTGTAAGTATGACAACAATGCCTCATGCCTCGTCTTTACATTTATACGAAGAGATGTGTTGTATCCATCTTTTTCTTAGTGCCTTTATCATGACCACCCATCAGGGGCGGATATAGCTTTTCAGCTATGAGTTCATTTGAATCTATAGTTGCAATACGGAGTATGATTCTATATATAAAAACCTATTAAAATCTCTAACACTTATTAGATTTGAACCCGAATTCTAACAATATAATAAATTCAGTACTAAAAATTATAAAAATTGAACCCATTAAATTTTACATCCCTCATCTGCCTTTAATTTGCCTCCAATTCTCCGGCAGCCTCAGATCTTGATACTTTTATTTAAAGGTTATTATGGAAGCTAGGATCAGATTCTATCAATTGACGGAGATGCTTAAGGGCCTGTCAAGTTTGGATATTTTCGTACCATATTTTCCAATAAAATTGATTATCCAAGATTTATTTGTTTCAATGCAATCAGTTTAAAGTCAAAATGGCTTCTACAAATCTAAAATCTTTACCCAAACAATTCTTGGTTGAGTCAAATCTTCATATATTATCTTATTAAAGTGAGATTATCATGATCTGTGAGATATTTGACAAAAATTATACAAAGAAAACAATAAATGGGATCATTAATTATGGAAGTAGGAAGTAATTAATAGGAGAGGTCTAGAGGATGCATAATATATAAAATGTTAATCTGGACCTTAATGAAGTATTGTTGCATAAATATTGTTTTCTTAAACTGTTATAAGTACATCAACTTTAAATTCAGATAGGAAAAACCAGTTTAGTCACTCCTAATGCAACGTTTAAGTTTTTGACGGATTTAACTTATATATTGATTTTAACTTATACGTTTAATTTTTCAGGTTAATTATAACTAATCTCACTTATTACCAAGTATTTTCTAAGCTACTTAATATAATATTTTTTTTACATTATCAGTACATGAAAGTTGAACGCTTTCTTGACAAAAGAACTCTCATTGTATGTAGAGCTTTCTACAAGGTGTGGATCTTAGCCGAGGGCGGGGACGTGAGTTTAGCCGAACTCAGTAGCTATTGTTCAAACTTTGTATTTGTTTTAAAAATTTATTGAATATGTACAAATTATTAATTTAAAATTTAGCAACTTAAAAGAATTATAATTCTGAACCCATAAAATTCAAATGCTTACTTCGTCCCTCTGAGTATAGCTATGGTTAGGGATGTACGAACCCAACCGGAAAACCGCACCAAACTGAAAAGTGAAACCAAACCGGAAAATCGCACCAAACCGAAAAGTGAAACAGAACCGGAAAATCGTACCAAACCGAAAACTCAAACCAAACTAATTAAAAAATCCGATTAAGTTTGGTTTGATTTGATTTGGTATTGAATAAAAAAATTCGAATCAAACCGACATATAAATATATAATTTTTATATATACTTTTAAGACTTTTTATAGAATTTTCTTTAAAAGAAATATTTGTGATTCTCTTATGGAATGTAATATTTAGTTAAATATGAAATGTTCCATATTTATTAACTTTAAATAATCGGTTGTATGATCACTTTCTTGTCAAGGGTTAGTGAAATGTGTCAATCTCTTTGTTCTTTTATATTCATATGTCAAACTCTATTAAATTCTTATATCTTTTTCGAATTTGAAATGGTATTTCGATAATTTAAAATTAAATAAAGCACATCATTATATAGGTTCATATTTATTTTTATGTTTATATTAAATTCGGTTAACCTTGAAAGTGTACATCAACGTAAAGTTATTCACAGACGACTAAAAAATAACCATCATGTGTTACTATGAAAATTCTTCCATAAGAATATTTTAATAGATCATATATTTGTATTATTAAACATATATTTACTTATCAAAAATTGAACAAAGTAATATTGAAATAATATTCATATAACACAATAATCCGATAAAACCGAACCAATCCAAATTCATATAGTTGGTTTTATTTGATTTTGATAAAAATCGAACAAATACACCCCTAACTATGGTAGTATGTGTTCGTACATTCTAACCTGTTTAACATGACTAGAGTTAATATTCTCCATAATCATATTACTCAACAAGCAGCGGAATTTACTTATTTGGCTTCTTATACTTGTAAGACTAATCGTATAATAAAACCAGCTAAGAATATCAAATGGAATCCTCCAACTGCTCTTTGTTATAAACTTAATACTGATGGAGCTTTTTCATCTAATACGGCAGGCATAGGAGGATTAATTAGGAACTCCAAAACTGAATAGATTTTAGGTTTCTCAGGATCTGCACCACATGATTCATCCATTTTGGCAAAGCTCTATGCCTTAACACAAGGCTTGAAATTAGCTTATGAAAATAACATTGCACCTTTGGAGGTGGAGGTGGATGCAAATGATCTTATATTATTATTACATTCTGAAAATATTGCTTTCTCTAACTTAATTGCTAATTGCAGGTACTATCTGAGCCAGCTAGGTAACCCTGTAGTCAAATACGCGTACAGAGAGCAAAACATGGTAGCAGACCGACTAGCAAAAACAGGCCACAATTTTGGAAAGGAATATTTGCCAAGAGTTTTTGAACATGTTCCTAATTTTGTTGAACTAACTTTTGCACAGGACAAGGCTTGTTAGGAAGGAACTCAATCACGCCAAGACACTGCTTGGCAAAATTACAGTGGCAATATGAATAGCCTATATCCGTGTGTAACTAGTTGTCATGATG